TTATTCAACAAGAGAGTGCTTAATTAAACAACCAATGGTCTCTCTAGCTATCCAATGCAATAAATTTATTTTAACAAAATTAAAACAGCTCATCAGTTAAAATCAACAGTTAATCTTAGTTGTTTAAACCTTATCTTATTTTTTTTTCTAGAATTCCATGATCTTGAAATTTTTGTCTCGTCTCGTCTCGTCCCGCCAAGTCTTGTCCTGTCCTGTCGTGTCTCGTGTCTTCACGTCTCGTTTCGATTAGTTTGACCATGTCAAGTCCCTCCAGTCTCTTCTCGTATGGTCCCGTCTCGTGGCGTGACGTCTCTTCTCCTTTAGTATTTTCACGTTAATTTCCTCTCGTCCCGTCCCAACCGTCTTGTCTCGTCTCGTATTGTCTAGATTAGTTTTATTTTGCCAACTCCCTTCGGTTTGCTCTCGCTTTTTCTCGTTTTTACTCTTCTCGTGTGGTCTCTTTTCGTCTCGTATCGTTTCGATTCTTTTCGTTGCGTCTCGTCTCGTCTCGCTTCTTCTACTTGCGCCTCCTCTTTCCTGTTCGCGTTTCTTCTCTTCCTGTTTTGTTTTTCAGCTTCCTCGACTTTAACACCAGCTTTTTTTCTTTTTCTAAGATGGGCGTGATCGCCTTCAGGGCTGCCATGATTTCTCTTCCGGTGGGAACGATTTCACAAGAAGATAACAAAAATCCATTCGGTTCATTATCGCCTGGCCTCAGCTCCAAACCATAAGAATGGGTTACATTAAGTTTGTCATAGACATAGTCAGTAAGGTCTCCATACGTTGGATCTAGAAAAAAACATGGGAAATACATAAGTAATCAGCTGGGGTGGTGCTGTTACTAATATAATTTGGGGAGCAGGGATGGCTCAGTGGTGAGAGCGCTCGCCTCTTACCAAAGTGACCAAAGTTTGCAGTTGGTTCTCGCCTTGTTCCGAGGGTTTGTCTCCGAGTTTTCCGGTTCCCTCCTCCACAAAAACCAACACTCCAACTTTTTAGATGATTCGCATCAAAACCAGCTAAGGCTGATCTGGCTTCTTCACTAAATATTAGAATTAATTAATTGATGCAAAAACAACAACAACAACAACAACAACAACAACAAACAAACAAAAGCTGCTTACAAATAGTCGAGAATATTTGTCCATAGATATATCGCTTTCCAGTCGTGTTGTATATTGCATCTGTGCCAACTTTCATCAGAGTTTCCTGGAAAAAAAAGTTCAGATAATTATCAGTCGATTTACCTTTAAAAAGGCATATGCTATTAACTTTGTCACCCCGTACGCCATTTAAACTGCTTTAGTCTGAGATCGGACGACGTGTGATACACATGTCCTAAAGGAGTTTATCATTTTTTGTTTTGTTAGAAAATTTTGCATGTATGTAAATATAATTTTCAAAAGGGAACTACTGTAAAGCTAAATTTGAATGAAAGCAGAATTACATTAGCCAAAATTTTATTAAGGCCTTTTCACGACTTTTACTGCCCGGTTTTCTTTGCTTTGCAGTATATGCAACCAAGAGGATATGATTTCTTGATGCAACGATTTCTACTTTAAAAGTCCATTTCCGAGTTGCTTTTTCCTTTGTTTCAAAACGAGTCATTGTGCACAGCCTTTCGTATACGGAAGTAAGATTTTTGTACACGTCCATTATCTTGCATTGCAAGTCAGACTTACTTCCATATACAAGGTTGTGCACCAGAATTCGTCTTGAAACAGAGGGAAAAGGGGACTCAGAATTGCTTATTGACTAGATATCTGAGAAAAAAAAAATCTGAAGAAAACATCTCTATTTACTTTGACTAGATCGATATCGTCGATTAAACGTCTGTTGACAATGGATAACTATCGAGCGTAGTTGAAGCATTTGAGCTCACTCGTGTTTGAAATGTCAATTCAGTCTTTTAGTCAAGGCTGTTGCTTGTAGACATGTCGCGAAGACGGTTTTAATCAGTAAGGTATTTAAAATGTTAACTATCCTTCCTACCTTAGGCTATTCATCTTACAAACCCCTCCCTTATCCTTACCCTTCCCCCACCCTCTCCTCTCCCTGTCCGATCAAGGCCAACAAACATCAAGATATTTTTTTGAATAAAACACTTAGCACAATCAAGGGGTTCGAGGTGGCCGCCAACATGGCGTCTCCATATAAGGATCTACAGATTTGGGTGAGACACGTCTAGGAATAACGGGTAATTGAAAAAAAGGACGGACCTAAATCTTGTCGAGGTTGTTTATATATCAGATATTTTTCATACCCTAGACTATTGACATATTTTGGATGGAACCAGTTAAACTAGAGAATATCGTACTTGTCACTTGTATTTCCTTGGTATATATACACACACGCCTTAAGGCTCGTGCGTATACAGAGAAAGTGACTCGTGGGACATTTCATGGTATACCACTCGAGAACGTTATATAACAAGTACATTTATCCTGCCCATCTTTTAAGTGTATAGCACAGCTATAAACACTATCGTTTAGGCTTGCTCTGTTTGCTGAGAAGGGTGTTTGACAAGGAATCAACAAACTCTCTAATTTTTGGATAAACTTTGGCTATGTGGCTTTCATAGTCAATTCAATGTCAGTTACGAACAAATGAAAGAAGCCCTACCTAGCAAAGGTAAGGGGAAAATCTGCATCTAACAGTCAAAAGTATATGTGGCTAGGATAAGGGTGGAGGAAGTGTGTAAAATAAAGTAGCAGACGATCCTTCAGTGCGGTCGAGTCCAAAACTACATGGGATAGATAGATCGATTAGAGGGTTCCCAGCCAACATAGCTTGTTAAGTTTAAATATTAACCTAAGGGGCAGCATAAATTTTTTATTATCTGGACCATAATTTTTATACATCACTCACCATTTGACTGGAAAACTCAGGAGGTTTCTTGTCCTTCCATCCCCACGGAGACATCCACGATTTCGAATAAGAATGAATGTCAAAAAACGCTGCTATTTTGTGTTTGTGTCTAGAAAGATAAGTAGCGACGTTTGAAGACTCTACCTCAGAGAAAGGTCTTTCACCAGGAAAGATGTCAGAACAAGGGTGGTTAGTATCATTTCCTTCTCCTATGGTACAAAAACAAACCATTATGCAGCGAAAAAAATATGCGCTAAAATATGTCTATTTTTTACTGCCGGTAAAAATGTGAGTTCATCGTCAGTTGTCTGTTAAAGAGCCATTTGTCCAGTTGTTAGTTAACAGATTGGTATCAGTTATCGTGCCATAATTACTGTTAGTAGTGGCGCCCGGTAAAGTTGAAACTGGCCGTTTGTAAACGAACCGGATGATGAAAATGGATCAGAAAATGTCGGACTGACTAGTTCGGCTGATCATTCATTTGGACTGCCGTCAAAGGTGATCCTTTTTTCGGCAAATTTCCCGGTCAGACTTAACCGTTCCAGTTGATTTTTAATCGAAATGTCCCGATTTTTTGGCATAATGGCACCCTTGACCTTAATATTCTAGGACACCGCAGGCTATATCTGCAAGGATTATCTAGGAGAGAAGCCATTGAACACTCAACCTCAACGGGGTGGCTTATCCGCCGGGATTAGGGTATATAGAGCGGGTTAGACTACGACTAAATATGCCAGTGAGCAATGGCATTAGGATTGATAAAGGGAGTATCTCCAATTACTTACCCCAATGATCTGAGTCAAAGTTCCGGTTCAGATCCACGCCAACACAGTGTGACTGTGAAGGCAATGAGGAATTAATCGCTCGACGGTTCTTTCGCCAGAGACGGTCTTCCTGTATCAAGGGAAACAAACAGACCTTTTATTCCAGAAAAAAAAGTTAATTTAATATTACAACGATTCAAATAGGTATTTACTTCAAATCCATTAATTACGTCTTGATTGCATCTTCATCCCATCGATGTATAGTCATGTTATGTTCAAACTGTTTACCTCGTGTGTAAAATTAAAACCATCCACATTTGAAACTGGCAGAAAAACCCACTCGAATTTGTCGAGCATGTTTTCAATTTCTTCGTCACGAGCCGGGGGATTTAGCAACTGAAAAAAACAACAGTTAACACTAAACGGAGAAAAGCATAATTTTCTACCATGCGATCTTTCTTTCGCCCTCATGAAATATCAATACATAACAACTAGAAGGTAAATAAAAGTCTGCATGCGAACCAAGTAGTGGCCCCAGCATCAGGCCGGAGCTTATCTCCGGTTTCAGTTGCGTAATGTGACTGGGAATATTGTTTACAACCCCCTGGATGGGATGCTATTTCATCACAGGGTTCCCCCCCCCCGCTTTAAATTCGCCGATACTCATTTGGGTGAAGAGAGGCGCTGTGAGAGTTAAGTGTGTTGACCAAGAACATAACACAATGTCCCCGACCAGGGCTCGAATCGGAGCGAGCACACTAACCATGAGGCCACCGCATCTATTATTGTGAGCCTCGATCGACAACCATTTTCTCTTAAGTTTATCACTACAAAGCCTTGTGCACCTGAGACAGGAAATTCAAAACCGATCTCAATGTGACAATTGACATTGAAACAAACGTTCTTCCAACTTGTACCATTGCCAACTCAGTTATAGACATAGACAGAGACAAAGACATTTTATTTTACTTGGACAACACACTTAGCTGTGGCAACGGTGTGTCCCATAGCCTTGATAAGCAGAGTCTACAGGGTGCACCAGCTAGTTTACAGGTGCGCCAAGAAAACAAAATAACAAAGTAAAAATGTATGTACAATCGAGTATAAATATTAAACTAGACTATCTAAGAATATATGACTACTATAAACTATCTAAGAAGGCATAAGAGTTATGAGAATTATGGACGAGCAGGGCGATTTTGGATGAACATGACCGCAGATTTTTTCTACCTACCTTTAAAAAGAAGGATGTTGGAAGTTGCCTTTACTTATTAGGGAGCTTACGAATCGACGACTTTTGCACGACGCCGCCGTTAGATTGCGTGACATGCTCACTGCGCATGCGTTTCTGAGCACTTCCCAGCTTCG